CAAATCAGAATATCTACACGTTAAAATACCAAATGTAAGTTTTAACCCAGGAGATGCTAACACTGGCCTGAAGCCAAAACACTAAGCAGTGATGAAGTCAAGATGGTGGCGCGTCCAGTGGTGAAGGCTTACCTCTGGCACACAGAAAGCACCAGCCGACGTTAACTGGAGACGAGAGGAGGCCGTTCTTCTTGGCGCTGCCGTGGTTGCTGCAGATCATGATGTGATGGGTGAGGATGACGCTGCCGGCGGCCAGGCAGCCATCGCTGGGGTGATAGGCCAACGGGCAGCGGATACAACGAATCAGACGGCCTGCGAAACGAACCATACCTTTATCATCACAGGTTAGGTACAGAGCAGAAAACTTTCCTTCAATGCTGACTTTATTTAAAGGGTGACCTATTACGCTTCCTTGAATAGGTTAGGATAGGACTATGAGCGAAATGTGTTTGCACTCGCAAAGGAAAAACAGCTACAAGCAGATAAGCAATTATACAAACGTTTATGTTTGAAAAGTAGAAGTGGAGACTCCTGCACAACCAATAAGAATGCAGCAAGTGGTTTCTGGATGGTAAGTCAGCAACCAAACACTTGTGTTTTCCAGCAGCCATTGTACAGCGCATACAACGGCAAAGCCAGCTGATCAAACGTGGTTGCTAGGTTCCTAGGTAACGGCACAGTGCTCGTCAAACGTGACTTAACAAGTAGAAAGTATTTGAAACGGCTCATTTTCCAGATACTACAAAACATTAACTTGTTGCCAGAAACAGCTGGGTGTTTTTATGTATGTTTTTCTAAATGCCTGAGCTGTTTTTTGAAGAAGTAAGACACAAAGGGGAATAAAAAAAAACATACAAAAAGTGCATTTTGTGTAATAGGTCGCCTTTAAATAAACAAGAAAAGAAGGTAGGTCATGTTCCTTTGTGGGCTTAAACTGTAATTGAAGAGACAGGAATAGCTACTGCATACTTTGAAGGAGCTTATCAAATAAGATGTTAGCCAAAGCACAACACAGCAACTCAAGTTGCATTAAAAAAATGACAGAACAGTTTTATTTACAGTCTCTTCATTGGCAGAGAGCTCATTAGACATATTAAATCTGAAAAATAACACGTTTTTCTTTTTGTAAATTCCTCAACAAATGTGCCTTCTAAATTCAAATAAAATTTAACTGAAAATCTCCTTTTTGAAGTGGGCAATATGGGTGGTTGCCCAGGGCAGCATTAGGAAGTGAGGAGCACACAAAAACTAGAACAAAATTGATTGAGCTGTAAGTTTTTCCTCTTGCTTTTACGCTTACCCATTCACTAAAGAGTTAGAGCCCACTTGCTTGCTTTCAATAATTTATTATTTTGTGGGTGTTGCACAAAACAGCACTAGCTATATAACAAAGGAGTTCTTCAAGATAAAAATATTGCATTAATTGTCATTTTGATGACAATTCCAATTTAATAAATTGTGCATATATAAATTATTGTCTGACCATCTAATTTTAGTAGACATATTTATCTTTAGCTTGTTATTCAAATATTTTTTTTAATAATTGAGAAGCTTTTGAAGCTTCTCAATTTCTCTGAGAGGAATAACACCGATAGCAGCGATGTCACAGGATGATGGTCTCCCCTTGGGTGAGATGAAGACCATTTCTTCCTTTTTTCATTTGGTTTATTTGCAGCATGATGACGCACCATCATCCATTTCCAGGAACATAGCAATAGCTCTGTCCCCGATGGTCTTCCAGGTACACCTCATTCAAACCAAACAGAAAACTGGATGTTCTGAATCACCAAAAATTCTAGATGTGTCTCTAAGTTCATCTGCTCCAAACAAAACTATTTTGAAGAGACTCATTTCTTTCTACAGCAAATTATTTCTAATATTTTACCAATTCACCAGTGAATTGATCTTGCCTTTCTGAATTACCTTGTAATTTAATTTGTTTAAAAACTTTTTCTAAAGCAAATCAACCTTTTCCCCACTTTGTAATTGCAAAGTTCCAGCAGCCAGACTCAAAGTGGAACTTAAAGGATACCCATTATGCAATATTCATATTTTACTTCATACTTCCATTTTTGTCTCTACTGCTTCAACCCAAGCACTTAAACAAAAAAAACAAAATAACACTCAGCCATTTTTTGTCAATGAGCTAACGATATTTTGGTCTCTGAAAAATTAACCGTTTCAAAAATCTTCAGAATGTATCACCACAACTGTGCCGCAACCTAGTAACCCCAGTCAAGCACAAACAAGTTACCTAGCAACCCAGTCTTTAGCATGTTTGGTCAGCTGGTTTTACCGCTGTATGGCCTGTACAATGGCTGCTGGAAGAAACAAGTATTTTGACATTGAATTACTGTCCAGAAACCACTTGATGCGTTCTTGTTGGTTGTGCAGGAGCCGCTACAAATACTTATCAAAGATGTACGATTGTTTTCATGTGTGAGAGTAAACGTTGAGTTAGGTAGCGTGGCCAGCAGGAGTTTATTTGGCTTTAAAGTGACAAGAGGCCCTAACAGAGCTCAAAATGAGCAGAACTCAACAGACTAAAATCTCATTTTCTAAAAATTATTTTGTGCAAAAACATTTGTTACATGTTTTGTACAGACCATATATCTATTCCAACCCATTCAAAGAAGCATAGCAGGTCATCTTTTAAACAGAAAACAAATGAAGCAGAACGCGCTCCACCTTTGCTGGCTCGTTGCAGGTCTCTCTCTAAGCAGCAGGTGGAGCAACTGTGCTGCGGGCAGCAGAACCCTCCACCAGAACCGCTGGTGGTACCCGGCAGCTTCCGGACACAATCCTCGTGGTAGAAGCATCCGCATCCAGACACGGAACAACGAGTCACCTCCGGGTCCACTGATTTACAGCTAAAACAAGGATGATTGCCTAAAAGAGAAAAATAAAACAGCAGAAAGTCACAACAAAAGAAACAAACTCAGCTTTTAGGGGGGAAACTGTCTTTGCTCTCACCATTTCTACATTCAGTGCAGGTGAATCGGCCCTCCGGAGCAGACGACAGGCCAAGACACTCCAGGTGGAACTGTCTGCTGCAATCACCCTCACACACGACCAAACCCTCCCCATACACCTCGCAGATCTAAAGAACACACACATCATCTAATGACGCAGAGCTTTGCAAAAGTACTCACACCCCTTCAATTTGTCCACATTTTGTAATCCTACAACTCAAGGTTTGCTAAATTTTACTGGGACTTTATCTTTTAATCTAACACAAAATAGTGTAACACTACAAAAAATTAAGACAAAACACTTTGCAGAACAAGCTTTTGACACAGTTAAAGCTACAGGTCTTTAGAGATATTTGTGTAACTGGGCTGAAACTAATAAATATGTTTGTAATTGATTAATGTAATTTGGAAGAACCTTGTTAAGTTGTCTGTATTACATTGCAATATATTATATTTATAGTGATCGTAGCTTGAGGGGGAAAAAGACTGAAATACTGTCTTCAAAGTTGCTGACAATAACATACTGAATTTCTCAAAAAGCGAAACACAGGCTTTCCTTTTGACACTGTTACAAATTGTACTTTTGGGGTGAATTTTAGATTTTTATGAAACCCAAACTAAAGAAAACATACAAAACATTTGTGTGCTTCATCTGTGCATACGAAAGACTACCGCTTCCAAAAACAACTGAAACAAAACAACACATTTCGTTTCATTTCAGTGAAACTAGCCATTATGACCAACTCCTCCACATTAAGTGATATGATTGTCCTTTTTGAGATCCATAAACAACAATTAATCTGATTTTTTAAAAAAGGTCAATTCTGCATATTTTTCATTTGACCATCTATTGTATTTCTGACACATAAAAGAAGCAAGTAATTTAATTCCTTTTTGAATGACAAAATAAACATGTTATTACTTAAAATATGGTAATGCAGCATTTCTTTAGTGAATACTTGATCATTTGTAGCAAACAATGCCTCTGCTGTGAAAAAAACAAACTTCTAACATGAGAAAAGCTCAATCCTTCCTGCTCGACATCAATACAACAGAAAGCTAATCTGTTGATTATTTTTTTGATTAAGTGATTACTAATTGGACAGGGAGAGGTATATAATAGCTTTTTTCTTACAGAATTTGAATCAGGTGAAGCTAAAACTACGCTATGAAAGGAGTTCTGTGTAGAAAATAAAAAATTTTTATTTTTCATCTTAAAAGCAAAATGTATACTTTTTTGTATAATTTTGGCTTAATTACTGCCTTAAGTGCTCTGTTCTGTCATCAATAGTATGTAAAATCCACTTAATGAATTGATTATTAAATTAGTTGACGATCAAGAACTAGATCAAACAATTTAGTTTATGTTGGCAATGTTAGACTATTTGAAGCTCAGGAGATTTGGTTTAATTTATTATCATTTAATATATCTTTAGTTTGTGTATTTTCATTTATTTGTTTGTATTATTTATTTAAATTTACAAAAAATGCCATTAAATATTGGTATTTAATGGTACCAATAGAATAATGCAACATTGTTCTATGTTGCATTTTAAACATTGTTATCTTTTTCTGAGGAACAGACTTGCAAAGTGCTTTTTATTTATTACCATGGACTGGTGTTTTGTTTTTTTTCTTTTCTCCTTAAGTATTGGCATTATGATATTGTGAGGCTATGTTTTGTAAAACTTTCTTCCTTTTGAACCAATAAAGATAATAAAAAAAAAATAAAAATAAAAGATGTGAATATTTTCGGTTTGAAAAGTTGTAATCCAGCAGAGTCCAGCCTTACCTGGCACACCATGTCTCTCTGTCCGGTACCGCTGTCTTGACGGGACAAACCGGAGTCCACAGACTGAGTGTCAGAAGCGTCAGCGTCTGCCGCTGCTGGGCTGTCCAGGCTCTTCCCAAATAATCCCTGGAGAATTGTTAGGGACGAGATTACTTTAATCTGTGCTTAGAAAATCTTTACCAGTTGAAATTTGCCTTAAAAAGCCTATCGATTATACAGCACTCGTCTCTATTGACCACGTGACGTCACGCTCTCCAGACCCGCGTCCGCTCCGCCATGATGGAATGCGCTCCTTCAAAGCTCGTCTAAAAACAGATGTCTGTCACCTGATGTCGATTTTATTAAGTTGATTTCACTTCAGAAATTGTCACAGGGCTCCATATGATTAGAAAATTTTCAAATGTCGCATTACGGAGAAGGTACGCGTCAAACCGTAACCATGGAAACAATGCCGCATCGTCATGTAGCCTAGCATGTATTGTATGCAAAAAAAAAAAAAAAAACTGGTTAGCATCTCGTCTTTTGTGCGTTTTTAAGGGCACACCGATGTAAAAACACTGTTTATGCTATAGTGACATACATCGTGTGGTGTGACTTCAGGCACCCCCTAGTGGTCCGCGAGGTACTGCATGTACCGTGGTGTTAGCTCAAAGTTCAACACTGCTAATAGTGAGAGTGGTGTTTTAGTTTTTAGGACTTTACTTGCTTCTAATTATCTGAGTACACGTCGTCAGCTGTTATTTTTTATTTAAAAAGATTTGAATCAGCAAATAATTACGATGGATAGAAATGGGTGGGTAATTTTTATGTTTAATGGTGTAGAAGAGGATTTTTGTTTCTGCAAAAGCCACTCAAGTCTATTTTTCTTTTATTACGTTTCTTAATTACAAATAGCCCTAAAATGATGTTGATGTGAAAAACATTTATAGTGAAGAAAAACTTCTTCTTTTATTTCTGTCTGTTTGACATCATTGGGTAGCTTAGAGTCCACACAGAACATGTATATAACTCAAAACACCTTAAATATAAACAGCACCTCTCTTCTCATTAGTTAGGAGACCAATATTTTAATTTTTACAACATTAAGATGTTGATTTCAAGCTAAGTCTTTGTTTAATGGGTTACGTGATCCTCAGTCTGAAAAAGTTTAAGAAATACTGCTATCCGTTGATGTGAATGCGGTGGATTTCTTTTATGATACAGGAATGACAGGATGAGCTATTTCTTTGATTACATCTGTGTCTTCTCATTTTTGTGTGTGTTGTTTCATTTGAAGCCCACCTGTGGGTCGTTGAGACCCCTGGAGTCAGAATCAGACGTGTCTCTGTACTGAGACGAAGCCATTTCGACGTCCGTTGAAGCTCTGCTTCTCTTCTTCAGCGGTTTGCACGCATCCGAGATTTCACTGGCTCCTTCGGGAGGATGGCATGGATTTCATGTAAGTTATGAAGGAGTTTATATTTGCTGGGTTTGAGGAGGTGTTGAGTATTTTATACCTTTCTGTGATCCCGTCTTCAGCATGGTTTCTGGAGCCATCTCAGCCTGAGAAACACAAATTTCCCACTTTAATAAACTCTGTGTTTTCCAATTTGTTTAACTTAAATTGATTGTTTTGATTAACAGAGTGAAACATCACCTGTTCTTTTTTGGTTTTCTTCTTCGGGATGGGATCGGTGCCTCTCTCTGACTCAGATCTACTCCGGACTGATCGACGCTGAGGTTTTCTCTCCTGAGAACCTGAAAGCAACAAGTAAATAAATAATAAGCAGCCTGCATTTTGAATCACGCAGAGAACAAAAATAAGAAAAAGAAAATTCTGTTTATTTTGGAACTGCTGGTAAAGATGAGCAGAAAGTCCTAAAATTAACTTTTCTATCTAAAAACCAATCTCTAATTTGAGTTCATCTTTTAAGTGGAGAAAAATATCCCAAATTAGCATTTAATTAAAAAATCGATTCACTAGTGCTACACCTACTGGTACAGCTTCTATCAGCACCTTGTACAAACCTTTCACCTTTTAATTAGTCGTCTGTAACATTTAATAAGGTTGGAGCACAATGAGAGGGAGCGATATTTAATTATTACTTTTTCCTTAAATCTTAAGATGTCTCTTCTTTTCAGCCAGGTGGTTATTGTGAATTAGAATTTGTTCTTAACTCAACTGGTCAAATAAAAGTTAAATAAATATAAATAAGTATATTCCTCCACAGGTTTTAAAAAATCTGTTACAATAGGTTTTCTAAATGTGTAAAACAAGAAGCTAAACATGCAATATGTAATAAAGCAGCTTGATTTTTCAAAAATGTTCAATCTGCTAATATTATGAGTATTTTCATATTGTTAGGGATTCATTCTGTTTACATGACTTTCATCACATGTCTTTACAGCTTTATTTTTTAAAATATTCTGAATTTTGTATGATTCAGTATGACTTTATTCCTGTAAAATTCAGGGTTTCCTACAGTGTATTATACCAAACCACCACCAAGACAATCTCCTGTGGTTAAGTTTATTTTGAAGTGGTTGTTAGGGGCACCAATACTTTTGATTGTTTCCACCCACTGAACAAAGGTAAAATTAAAGATTGGAATTTATTCAGTATGACATTTAGACCTGTCGCAATAAGAAATAAATCAATCACATAATAAATCAAAGCAAGCTCAACAATTTCCATTTGCATGATTTATTTTGTTTTTTCTCTTTTTCGACAAAAATTGGATGATAAAAGTCCTCAGTCTGGTGAATTGGTCTCAAATTTTGAAGTGACCAGAGACTTCCGAACTTGACTTTATTTGTAGTTTCCATTGTTTTGTTTATTTGTTTTCAGTATTTAAACTGTCTTCCAGGTCCAGTGTTAAATGTTTGTTAGAATTTAAAGTTTATTGATCTTTGAGCATGTGTTTCTGAATTATTATGCAACTCGGTCTCTGAACAACAACATTGTGGCTTATCAATATAACTTCTGGGACAATTTATCATCTAGCAACATTTGTTACTGTGACAGGCTCAGTGATGTTGTGCTGCTTTGTTAAAAAATTTATTTCTTTTCAGGCTTTTTACAGAAGAGCAAACAAACATGGCTGATGCTGTGATTCGTTTCCTCGCCTTGCGGACTGCTGCTGGGCGATCCAGGTGAAGAGTTTTGTCGATTTGCTGACTCGCTCCTCCTGCTGGCCGGAGAGCCTCTCCTCTCGTCGCTCTCTTCCTCACCTTCGTCGCCCTCTTCTTCCTCCTCCTCTGGACTGGGCTCAGGTTTGGCTCTGCTGTCCTGCTGGAGGAAACACTCAGATCAGACCTCGCAGGTCGGCGCCACTATCCTTCCGTCCATTTGCACCTAGTTAGACCTACGTCAGGTGAGCAGTACCCCAGGTCGGGCTGCCGGCCTTCTCTTTCCACCCTCTCCTTCTTCTCTTCTTCTCTGTCCTTCTTTGGGGACGGCGTGATGTTTTTCTGCAGGAGAGGCCAGTCGCACTTGGTGATCTCCACGTTCAGCCTCTTCATGGTGATGGAGAGAGGCAGCAGTTTCCTTGCCGCTGCCGTTTTCCACGGCCTGACCACCGGTGGCGGCGAGTCCTGCTTTGCATCAGACCCGGCGTTCTGCAGCGGTGAACTTTTCTTCTGCTGTTCTCCCCTCTGGTTCTTCTCTTCCCCTGCGGGCTGTGAGTTCAAGCTGTCCTCCGTGTTGGAAATGCTGCACTGCCGGCGCGGCAGCTGCCTCCGAGGCAGCTGCTCTCTGTCAGGCGACTTCACACCAACATCCTCCTTCTTTCCGACCGAGCCGCTGGAGCGCCGGCTCCGTTTTTCAGCTCGGATGCTGGGTTTCTTGGTCGGCGGCGCCTCTTCTGGGTCCGGGTCAACGTAGATGAAGGTGTAATTGTCGATCCGTTCCTGGCGCGTCATGAGAAAGGCGTCCTCAGCATGGCCGACGCCTACTTCCCACTGAGTCCGCTCCCTCTGAGGGATGGGCTTCAAAAGCTGGAGAAAGATAAAACATGAAGGATTTATTGAATAATAATCATTATTTACTGGAAATTTAGAACTTTAAAAGTGATAAATTATGCTTCCTTCAACAGGATAAGTATGGGCTCCACAAAACATGCTCATCAAATTTTTTGCATAATATCATTCAGAGATAAGATTTTAGTCTATTCAGTTTCAGAATGAGCTGTTTTAGGGCCTAATGTCACTTTAAATCCAAATAAGTTGCTGCTAGTCACACCCCCCAACTGGAACAAACCTCCGAAAAGATTACTTGAACTGTTTTAAAGTTCTAAGTGATCTACAAATAAAAATTGATTTGATTTGACACATAAAATGGCTGCACACTGATGCGCAATTATACAACCGTACATCTTTGAGAAGTAGAAGTGGAGCATCCTTAATAACTAACAAGAATGAAGCAAGTGGTTTCTGGACGGTAAGTCAAAAACAAAACACTTGTTTTTTTTCAGCAGCCATTGTATCACCCACAAAGCAGTAAAACCAGCTGGCCAAACGCACTGGAGCTCTGAGTGTGTTGTTATGTGACGGCGCAGTGTGAATCAACAATTGGGAGGTTTTTGAAATGACTCATTTTCCAGGCACTAGAAAACATAAGCTCATTGGTAAAAAAACAAAAAACAAACAAAAAAAAAACATCTGGATGGGTTTTTTAAAATTTGGGCAATTTTTAGAAGCAGTAGAGACTCAAGTGGAAGTACAAAAATGTGCAAAATGTGAATATTAGCCCCTTTAATTTTCTACATAAATATAATGCATCAACCTGCCAATATAAAATTAATTAATAGCTAAATCTATGAGAAATACCAAAAGAAGACAGAAGCTGACGCATAAAGAAGAATTTCATCCCCCGTATCAACTCCCCTCTGCTCGGTAAAATAGGAATATTGGCCAAAGCAACAATGTAAACACATTAACATTTAGCACATTAGAGCTAAATGTTAATACAAAACCAGTATTAACTGGATATTTCCACTGTCTGACCATACATGAAAGTAAACATTTGTTGTTTTAGATTAATTAGAATTAGATAAATGATAAAAAGTAACAGATTTTTTCTTCTTAAAATTTTGATATTTACAAACATTAAGGATGTTTTTACACCTGATAGTTTGGTTGACTACATTTGATTGGGGACCAAAATCGCAACATTTGTTACATTTTCAGCTGGTGTGGCTCTCTTTCAGGCTCCACTTTACCAAACGATCCAAACTAATTAAAAACCTGCTCACTCCCTCGCCTGTGGTGGCGCTGCACCAAGAACTACCAATGAAAATTGCACAAAAATCTCAGAAGAAGTCATGAGTGCAACTTCCTTCCTCATGAAACATAAACTTACATGGAGTAGCATCATATTTCAGTGGTTGTGGAATTTCTCTTTAAAAGACGAAATCATTTTTCTGTTAGCACCCGACGGACATATTTGTTTTGGTTGCATTTACCCAGAATGCCTTGCACTGCAGTTCACTTCCTGCTTTTGGAGCAGGCTCCTCTTAGTATTTACATATGTATTCGAGTTCACTTCATCGAAACTAGATCTGGGTTTTTAGGCCAACCAGAGTTCACACCTCCCCAAACAAACCGGACATTCCAGGCAAAAAATCTAGAGTTTGATTAAAGCAGACCAAACATGGCTGCTGTGAATAGACCCTAAAATAACTACTCATTTAAACTTACATTTCTGAAACCTAGGATGGCTTTGTAACCAAAAGTATCCAACATCTGGTTTCCCATCTTTTTTCAATGCTTTCTCTTTGAAACATTTTTTATTATATCATTTATTGCATTTTTTTAGACGTAATATCTGTACATACTTTCTGTCTCTCAACAGGGTTTGTGGCTTTGCGCAGCGTCTCTGCCTGGAGCTCGTCGAACTGCTGCTTCCCCTGGTACGTGACTATCCTCTTCTCGTGGATCCACGCTCGCTCAGCGACGCTGCCAAAGAACTGGACGTGATACTCCCTATGTCCTGTTATCAAGAGGAGTCACAAGAGAAATTTGGTCAACAGTCTTGCGATTAGAGGTGTACCAATATCGGCTGATACTTAAATGTGAAGCCAATCTAATCCATCTACCTCAGCAAATGTCTTAAAAAATGAAAATAAAAAATTTACTACTGTCCTCTTCTGCTCTCCCAAAGGAGAAGTTTGACCAGCAGACCGGCCCACAGGTCACATCTGCACATTTGCAGCTAACAATAGTGAATAGCTCACCCACTTTCTTGTTGTATTTTGCAACATTTAAGACAAAAAATCTGAATCGGCAGGTGATGCTTTTCAAAGATCGGTGCAGTCGTACTTAACGGCTCTTACCTCTGGTGTTGATGCGAGTGTGGACCTTCATCTGTGGGTCGGAGGAGACCATGCAGGGCCACCAGGGATAGGTGCCCACCTTGGACCACACCAGATCTCCGATCACAAACTCCTTACAGAACCCCGTCTCCTGGATCACCGACGGATGATGGACTTTAGGAATCTAAAGATGAAGATTCACTTGTTACTGGCCTAGTTTTAAGATCCCACATGAATGAAGGTGCTAAGCTGCTTTGCTCTTTGCCTTCTGTGTTTTTGGTTCAGTTTTGATGACCGTTCTCTGAGTTTTCTCTGTCTGGGCCGGCGGCGGGTCGCTCGGCGGCGGTTCTCTTGGCTGCGGCTGGACGGACTCCTCTGTCTGGACCGTGGAAGCGGTTTGCTCTTGGCTCCGCTCCACGCTCTGCTGAGCCTGAAGCTGCAACCTCGCGCTCTTTTTCCTCTTCTCCTTCTTCCGGTCATGTCTGCGCTGCATTTGAGTCGCCTCGTTCTTCTGAGACTCCTTCTAAAGGACCGCAAAAAGTTATCAAGACAATGTTGCGCCTGCTGTTTTCAGTTAGTTACTTTTACAATTTGTAGCGACCTGAAAGTATTACATTTTTCCTCACATTGTTGTACTGCAAATTCTTATTTTCTTGTCAAACATCTGCGAAAAATAGCCCATTTATTTGCGCATTATTATAAAATGAAATTTTCAGACACATTTTGGTAAATGAATACAAAATTCATACAAAAAAATAAACATAATATCACAAGTATTCACACCCGTTGCTGAATATTTTGTTGAAATACTTTTGGCAAAAGGACATCCTCAATTCTTCATTTTTAATAAAAATAAGCAAATAAGGACACCACTGATGAAACACAAAATATGGAAAAAAGTGGGTCTCAGTATTTTCTGGTGGTACTGGAACTAAATATTAAAATCTAATCTCAACTTTAGTCTGGACATTCTTAAATATCCACAGCTGTGGATATTTAAAATGAACATTATGTTTTCCATGAGTATATTCCTTTAACCATTTAGAAATTACATTTTTTATATTTTCTTCCTGCTTCTTGTCATATTAAATATTAAAAAGTAGTTTTTCTTTGACTCTCATTTCTAGTATTGATATTTATTTACTTGTGTAAAACCTGGATGATGGCCTGTCTGAGGTGGGAGAGACACCGAGTTAGAGCACCCCCACTATGGGAATGGGAAGAGATCCTCAACTTATCTGTGTATGAGTAGTTTTGGAGGAAGCTAGGTAAAGGACACCTCCCCCCCAGGGCTGTCTATTTGGTTCAGAGTATCCACTTTTATGTTATATATCCTAATTTGGTAATGGGCATTTGAAATGACTCCCACTTCCTGTGCGCCAAGGAACTGTATATAATTTTGTGATTGTTTCAGCCTCCCCAGATCACACCTAGAGTTTGCTATGATTTTATTTGTGTCGTTCTCCACTTGCAAGTGATATTAAAAGATTTTGTTCTTTGCGCTTTTGCTGTCTCAGTCTCATCTCTGGAAAATCTGTGCATTTCAACAGACAACCTTAGATAGCAAGATTTGTTGACTAAAACTAAAAGTCAATAGGTCATCTCCTCATTTTAATGATTTTAAGTCAAGCAGAAAATGTTTATATGAAAGAATAATATGTACCTTAGGAGTGAAACATGAGAAATTACAGAGCAGTGCATCGTGTATACACCGTGAGTTCGACCTGTTACCTGCAGCTCCTGAAGCAGATCCCCACACAGCGCAGACTCAAACAACTCCTTTCCATTCTGATACGTCTTTATGATCTTCAGCTTGATCTCTGGAGAGCTGGTTTTCTTCAGCACGCCGCCTGGGGTGTTGGATGGAGCGAGCACGGGCTGAGAAGAGGGGGTGCTGTCCACCAGGGAGGGCGGGGGGCTGGAGGATGGCAGGTGTAAGGGGGGTGGCGGCGGCAGGTTGTGGCTCATGATGTGAGGCGTCTGGGACAGCTGGTGCTGAGCGGGCAGCGGCGGCGGTGGGGGGCTGTGCGGGTGCGAGTGGGTCTGTATGTGGGGCGGGTTGGAGTGGAAGGGGTGTGCGTGGTGGTGGTGGTGGTGATGGGGATGGGGATGGTGGAGGTGCGGGTGATGTACCGACAGCGGCGGAGACACGGGGGACAGAGGTCTCTCATGGAGGCCGGGTCCTCTCAGGACAGTTCCCTCCCCCGGCAGGAGGCCGTGGTCCCCGTAGCTCCGTATGGCGCCGTAGCCATTAGCCGAGCCGTTGGGGAACTGCGAGTACATGGAGAACTTGGCCTGGGGCTCGTACAGGCCCAGACCAGGTGGGTAGCCGTTAGGGACCTGCGGCATGTCCTCCGAGGCTGACGGCGGGTAAGAGAACTCTGCATCCAGGGCAGCATCGTAAGAGGGACCGCTATCCTCACCCGGGTCACTGCCGGTGTCGCAGGAGCCGTCCTGTCTGATGTTGGCTGAGTCAATGAGCTGAGGGGGTTGCTGAATTGTATTTCCCATGATCCCTTGCATGAAAGAGAAGGAGAAATCCATTGTTGGGCTCCTGCATCCTTAACTGTCTTTTTCTTTGACTGGACCTGGGGACAAAGACGGGGAAACTTTAAGACTCTAATTAGTCTTAAACAAAATTACAGAGAATTTTAAATGCATCATAAAACAGATAAAACATCAATATTTTAAACACAATGAAAGATCTTTATTCCGTATTCTTCTGTTTTGTTAACTACAACCAACACAAGACCAGAGCTGAAGCAATTAATCAGATTAATGAATCAATTACTAAAATAATCGTCAACTAATTTAGTAATCGATTCATCACTAACTGGAGTACACAGACTCTAAAAGTCAATTTGCTGATGTAACAGCACAGGTAGACCAGTAATTAAGCCAAAACTCTACAAAAACCAAACATACAGCTCTAAAAAAAGTAAGAAACCACTTAATATGATCAGTTTCCCTGATTTTACTATCTATAGGTTTATGTTTGAGTAAAGCAAACTTCGTTCTTTAATTCTATGGACTACTGACAACACGTCTCTGAACTTAAAAAATATATATATCGTATTTATTTGCAGAAAATGAGAGATGGTCAAAATAACTAAAAATATGCAGAGCTTTCAGACCTCAAATAATGCAAATAAAACAAATTTATATTAAAATAGAGAAACAACAATACTGATGTTTTAACTCAAGAAGAGTTCAGAAGTCAATATTTGGTGGAACAATCAGGAGCTTTTCAGTGCAGTGGGCTCTTTTTTTCCAGAGCTTCTTATTGTATTCAATATAAAAAAAAAAGGTACATTCAATATTTGTACAAATTTTCTCCCCAGAACTACTAGTCAAATTTAGTAAAAGAAAAAACAAGATAAGAAAAGAATATCTTAGATAGCAAGATCTGCAGACTAAAAATAAAAGTCTATAGGTCATCGCCTGAGTTTAATGATTTTAAGTTGAGCAGAAAATGTTCATATGAAACTTTTCATATGTCGGTGTTTGAAGTATTGTTTTTAGCTGGAGATTAATCTTTTGCTACAAATCATCAAGCATACATTTAAGGAATGTTATGCTATTGCATTTTAGGCAATAAAATGTGTATTTTTCTATTTTATAGAGGAATTCGATTCAATTTTATGAATTTTTCAATATTGTATGAAATAGAATAAGGTGGTTAACATGAAAAGTGCCATTTTTTTAATTGTCAGAATCATCAGTTAATAAAATAATCATTAGTTGCAGTCCTGCACATGACAAAAAGCTGCATTACCCTTTAGAGCACGTGTCAAACTTAAGGTCAGGGCCACAGCCGTACCTATTTATGTGGCCCTTTATAAGAGTTGAGTGCTTAAATATTATTGTGTCAATGAAATCAAAGCTGTTTTTATCTGTATGCCAAATTACATCAGACTCTCTGTTTTTTTAGAAATCAATGAATATCATGAAGTCCTTGGCAATTTTCATTTTGCACATATTGATGGTCCAGTTATTGAGATTCAATATTTTGTGCAGCTCTGGCCTGAAAGCAGAGAAACAGTTAAACCAGCCAAACAGCTACTGAAATTTTCCAGCTTTGCCTTGATTGGTTTTGAATGATGATCAGCAGGTCAAATTAAAATTTATCTGTTTCCACCTTGTCTACAGCATCAAAGCTGAAAGTCTCCCACTTATTCTGCATAGACAAAGAAGAGATTCTTTTGTGCGCATTTTACTTCAAGTTACCAAACATCTCGTTATCTAGAAAGATAAACTTTGATGCACACATGGAGACAGCAATTTCTTCAAATCTCTATGTTTTTGAAGGAGGAAACCCACAATCCCAGTTCCAAAATACTGCTAGGGTGGATTATGTTGTACAATATATTTTAAAATATGAAAATTCTGCTTTGAAAGAATATATTTGGTCTGGTCAGTAAACACTCTGCTCTCCAGGAAGCATATTTTTAGCACTGGTGACAGCAAATCTCACAAGGAGTTTCAGGATGTTTTACTGAAAATAATGAAATGGTCATGCCAGTTTTTACATGATACAGTTATTAATATCAGCCTGTAAAAGCCTGATCACTGCAGGTCTAGTCACAACATTTGTTGTGCCATTTATCAAACAAATTATTCAGAAGCTACTGGATTAATATAATCTAGATTATTCCCCAAATGGTGGAGGTGAAAAAGGTTTATAATGGTTTCCATTTACACTCAAAATTCAGAAATAATGAGTTTAACGTTGGACAAAACCAACAGGAACATCTAAAACTCAGTATTCTGTCTGATGATGAAAAGGCGATAGAGTTGCACCACTAATGGTTTACATTTGATCAAATTAGTTGAACACACAACAACGTGCAAAGCCAACATGTAGCATTTTATCCTTTTGAATGAGTGAAATGTGGAGAAATACACCGTAATTGGCCTGTGACCCTAACAAATTCAAACGTAAGTTTTATGCTCATGTTAAAAAGTGTTTCCATTCAATCAGTCCCCGTTTATTTACCAAAGAAGTTAAAATGTTTATTCAGCAATTTCATTATCATAGTACTCTATGATTTGGGGTCAATATGTCACAAAGCCATTAATG